TGTCTTCTCTAATGGGCCTACTTACTCAAGCAGAATCACATGTGGGTTCACACTAAATCACAATGCCTAAATCTGAAAACAAAGTAACCGCAACTATACTAATTTGACAATAATGTGTAATCTCTGTTCAAGAAAAGCATAGATACAGTCATGAATGATACAACCTAAACAAACAAACAAACAAATTAAAAAAGCAGGCATGCCACTGACCTACAAATGTCAAAAGTCATGAAAACCATGCCTGGTCTCTTGAAGCTAGTAAATAATTATATCTTTTGTTCCTTCAATGCAGAGTGAAATTTCGCTCATGAGGTATTCTCTTGGGTTCTGTCCCATTCCAACTTTTCACCCCAACAAGTGTCTTCAAGCCAACGACCCTTCTCGGTGAAAAGAAAAAGAGCGGTAGGTCTTAATCTGGCACTGTATGTCATGGGTAGAGTCCCTCACTCACTGCCTCAGTTTCCCCATCTATAAACAATGGAATCGGTTGCAGTCCCTTAAGGATAAAATTCAATAATTCATACCAAATCTGTCTTCACTCCAAAGCTTTGGAGTCAGCTATACCAAGTTAGCCTTCAAAGCTACAGGATTCTTCAGCTACCCTACATAAGAAAAAGCAAGTTGACTTAGTGTGATGAGATGTGATATAAGATGCTACAAAATTAAATCACTGAGAATTTACCAAGTGACTACCACATTCATGCACCAAGATCAGCCATCACTGCCAAGGATGGCCTCTTGGCCTGCCTTCAAGTTTCTGCTATTGGCAAAGGGCCCAGAACTCTGGAATTCCACCGCCTGATCCTTTGGGCAACTTGGTACTCCACAGATCTGAATTAATTCTTCCAAGTTAGAGACTGACCAACCATTCAACTAAAGATTTCATTCTTCCCCAAAACATTCCCACTGCCATCAAGTTAATTCCAATGTATAACAACTGTATATAGAATTTCTGAGGCTTGAAGTTTTACAGGAGCAGAGAGCCTCTCATTCACATTCTTCTACAAGTCCTTAGCCTTAGCTAAGAATTCCAAGTTGAGTATCTTCCTCTTCCTCGCTGATCCTCCACCCCACCTAGTATGTATTTCTCCAAGGGCCGATTCCTCACAACTGGTCCGTAGTACACAAGATGAAGTCTCACTATCCTCATCTCTAGCTGCACCTTTTTTCAAGAGAGACTCCTGTGTTCTGGCAGTTGGTGGCTTTTTTATTTGGCCAACAACGCAATTCAAATACATCAATTCTTCTTTGGTCTTTCTTATTCAATGTCTAATTCTCACAATCACATGGCTTGGCAATATATTGTTTGATTTCTTGAATGCTGTTTCCATGAGGGCTAACTGTGGATCCAAGCAAAATGAAATTCTTGACCACCTCAATCCTTTCTCTGATTATCACGTTGCTCACTGGGCCAGTTGTGAACATTTCTGGCCTCCCCAGAGTTGTACGGCAGACTGATGGCTGTATTCCTTGATCCTCGTCAGGTGTCCCAAGTCTTCCTCACATTCAGCAAGAAAGGTTGTGTCATATGTACATTACAGATTATTAATAAGCGCTCTTAGACGTTGGACAGGGCAAGATATGACAAAATAATAATTTATAAAATTATCAAGGGCTCACAAGGGAGGGGGGAGCGGGGAGGGAGGGGAAAAATGAGGACCTAATGCCAGGGGCTTAAGTGGAGAGGAAATGTTTTGAGAATGATGAGGGCAATGAATGTACAAATGTGCTTTACACAATTGATGTGTGTATGGATTGTGGTAAGAGTTGTATGAGCCCCTAATAAAATGATTTTTTAAAAAATAAGCGCTCTTCTAATGCTGATGATGTGATCTTCCTCATATAGTCCAACTTCAGACCATTTGCTCAGCACACAGACCCAATATAGAGAAAGGATAGAGCAAGTATGGAGAAAGCATACAACTCTGACGGACACCTTTCCTGATTCCAACCCATTTGGTACTGCCTTCTTCGGTTTGAACAACTGTCTCTTGGGGCATTTAGAGTTTGCGTCTTTGGCTCTTTACTTTTATACTATTAAATTAATATTTCTCAACCTGGGTTCTTCCGCACCTGGGGTTCCTTCCTCTTTCCTATATACACTCCAGCATTCCATATAGGCTACACTTTTTTGCCCATCATTAAAGAGGCAGCCTAGATGTCACTGCCTCCAAAAAGCACAGAAGTATCATACCTGTGAATTCCTACAGCCTTTACAGTCTGGATTCATGTGCTGGTCTTATCTACTCACCTATGAAATCTACATTGAATTTCTCATTCCTGCACTGGCTTAGTTCAAATTTTATCCTTTATTCTTTCCTGAATTATTGCAATGGCTTCCAAAGGGATGTCCCTGGCTCTAATCTTGCCAGAAGTGATTCATAACATAAAAGCAGCCACGGTGATCTTTATTATACACATATCGGACTGCATCACACACCCCTCTTCAACAAAGTTTGATTATCATCAATTGCCTTCTAATTAAAGTCCAAACTCTTTGGACTTAAGGCGCTTTGTATCAATCGGCTTACCTATCTCACCACTCTCCAAATAACTTACACTCCAGCCACCATGAACATTTTTCCTTCTATCCCTCATGCTTTGCCTGCTGCTGTCTTCTCTCCCTAGAATTCTCTCCTTCCCTACACTAACTCACTTCTATTTACTTTTCAAGATATAGGTCAAGTACCCCCATTTCTGTATGATATTCTTTAACTTCATGCATCCTTTCAAACACTGTTAACTAATCAGGTACTAAATGTCATGGTATAGATTAGGGATACAAGAATGTATAAATCACAGTTTTCACCCTCATGGATCTTACAGTCTAGTAGACTACTAAGGCAGAGGCAGAGTAAACTCTTCCCTCGTCCCTCTGACATTTGTAATCTATACCACACATGTCCAAGGCCACAGTTATTACTTTTTTTTTTTTTACTTGTTTCTGGGTCTGTCTCTATCACTAGACTCTGATCACCTTGAGGTCAAGAATTTGTTTCTCTTTAAGTTTTGTTATGTCATCCATTTTAAATATACAAAGATTTTTAGTATAGTTACATGGTTGTCAGCCATCTTATTTTAAATCTCTTCCAACATACCAAAAATAAATCACATACTAATTTTCTTTGACTCCTGAATTGTCGTCAATTAATGTGGCCCTCCCAGCCACAATTCCTTATGTGATATATTGTAGTTCTGGACTCTATACAGGCCTGTGGCTAGCATCCCTTCTTGGAGGGAGTTCTCCACAGTACTCATGGACCTGATCGTCACTGTTAGATGTCATCGAGCCAGTTCCAACCCACGGCAACCCTTTGCACAACAGAATGAAACACGGCCCTGCGCCATTCTCACAACTGTTCCTATGCTTGAGTCCACAGCTGCAGCCACTGTCAATAGGATTAGGGTGGCATTAAATCCTGACCTTAGTAGATGGTGTGGACCAAGTCGCACCGTTTCCTTGGAGTTATGGTCTGCTGAAAGAAAAAACAACAACACTACTTCATCAGAGTTATGCCTCTGTGTTAGAGTCAATTGGACACAGAGAAACCCCAAGACTACCAGAAACAGTGCACATTTGAGATCTTTGTCTGAAGTGGTGGAGGCTGGGGCCAGAGGTACCAGAAGCTGCTGCACAGAGGCCATGGGTGAAAAGGAGCCAGGCTGAGGCCAGAGACAAAGGCAAGATCATGAGACAGAACAAAGGACTTGCACTGGGAGTGTGAGACTGTGAAGCAGCGTGACAGGCTGACTCCCTGGCCCAAAGAGGCAGAAGCCAAGGGACCATTTGGCTGATAGGCCAAGGACCCGAGAGACTGGGCTGCTGAGAAGTGCTGCTGTGGACCAATGACTGTATCCTTACTGTTTACTGAGTAAATTGTTCCCTAGGGTGTCTGACACTACATCTTTGTCTAATTTTGCCCCATAGTTCAGGGTACTCACACATACAGAGACATATCCAAGCATATATGGCATAGGCTCCTGGGCAGAAAGTGGCACTGGAGTTTGGGAACACTCCCCTGGCTCTCCTCTCGTTATAGCCAGGAGTATACATCTTATGGCAGCAGACAGCTTCATCTTTCTCCCAGAGTGGCAGGCAGGAGAACCTGCAGTTAGCAGCCCAATGTGTAATTCATCGCACCACCAGGACGTCTGTTGGCACTGCAGTGGGCTTTAATCCATATTCTTGCCAACATTTGTTCTTCTGTTTTCAATTTCAGCCATCCTAAAAGGGTATATGCAATCCCTGGGTAGTGCAAACAATTAACATTCTCAGTTGCTAACCCAAAAGTTAGGAGTTCAAGCCCCACCCAGAGGTGCCTCATAAGCAATCCTGGCACTCTTATTCCAAAATACCAGCCACTGAAAATCTTATGAACACAGTTCTATACTGACACGTATGGTAGCCATGAGGATAAGTGGCTTTTAGTGGGTGGGAAGTGATCCAGAGATTGTGTTAATTTTATTTATCTTCATACCGAGGAGCTCTGATGACACTATGGTTTAGTGTTGGGCCATTAACCGCAAGGTGGACAACTCAAAGCCATCAGCTACTCCACAGTACAGAGATGAGGCTTTCTGCTTCTATAAAAATTTAGAAACCCCAAGGAGCAATTCTACTTTGTCCTACAGCGTCTCTATGAGTTAGAATCAACATTGCAGAAGTGAGTTTGGGTTTGATATCTTCATATCTCAGAGAATTAGCATATAATCTAGTATTCTGTATTATATGTTCCATAAATGTAAGGTGAATGTTTAAATAACTGCCTTGAATCACTTACTCCAACATATACATCTCACACCAGACACAAAGCAGATACTCTGTAAATACTCGGCAATTCTGAGTGAATTCTCTTTCCACTAAATAGTGGGGATGTGGCAGCAGCAGCAGCAGAGTCCAGAGGAATTGGGAAAGTCATTTGAAACGAATTCAATCTAACCGTTTGGATTGGCTACCATAGTCATTACTGACATAGCTACTGGTCTCTAAGAAGTAAATTCTAAGGAACTGGAAACACAGGGAATCCAGGATAGATGATCCCTTCAGGACCAGTGCTGAGAGTGGTGATACCAGGAGGGTGGAGGGAG